CCGCGCGCCGCTCATATACAGACCCTTCAGGCCCTACGAGCCGGACCTCGCGCACGACGCGGACACGGAGCGCGGTGAGAGCAACGCGGACGCGCCCGCGTGACCGCCGTCTCATGCCACACGTGCCACACACCACACAGGACATGCCACACACCGCACAGGACATGCCACACATGCCACACACGCCCTCGCCCTCGCCACGTGACGCTCACTGTACGCAACACACACATTCGCGACCCTTAAATCAACTACAAACGTTTTAAATGACAGGTTTCAGAATACGACTGTGTGTAGGTGACATTAGAATTCTTTAATACAGTTAATGTTATGCCTACACATTCGACTGTTTAGTTAAAACTGTCGGAACTGAACGTTTGTAGTAGGTTTATATGCGTATTTAAATATAAATGTGATAATTGAAATATTAACGAACGCACACAAGTACAGTCGCGGAAATCTGCGGTCTTCTACTTACAGAAAAAATGTCTTATTCCTTACAAACACTACCTCTTGCAAATAACCAATTCATTAACAGTGAGTTGTGCGATAAGGGAATAATAATGAAATGTAATTAAAACTGTACTTACTGACCAATATTTTATACAGATACATTAAAAAGCGTCCTATTTGTTTTTATTCCATACGTTCAATACGTTCAATTGGCAGTTTTAAATTATAACACCACCAAATTCCCCGATAGTACACAATACTCGCTCATACAAGCGAGAACACGGTAGATGTACAATAGGGCTAATTAGCGGTGTTGTTTAAAAGCTACAATTGTATGAATATTTTGTAATAAAATACAATACAACGCAGCTAAATGGCTCTATACGACAAAAAAAATCGGTTAGTAATGTTTGGATAGTTTCTTATTTTTATCCTTATGTGCCCTCACTCCTATCTAATTAGTTTTTGTAAATAGCGGAGTTTTCGTTGTAATTAATAAGACAATTTTTCTAAATTAAAACATCGCTGATTTCCCCGACTGTACTTTACTAGCAAAACTTCATATATATACAAATATCGGTATATATAACACAGTTAATAATGGTTGCCTTACTGCGAGGTTTTTACTACGCTTACATTTTGTAAAGAAAATTTGAGAATCACTTTCAGTAAATAATCACATTTTTATTGTATACTTTTCATTTGAAATATCCCAAAACTTTGTTTTTAACTTGTAAAGTAAAGATTTTGTACATAAAGTTTTATTAGTAATTGTGAAGATAAATACATCCACAAACAATGTCACAACATTCTACATATAATATTATATTTGTAACAAATAATCGTAATTATATCCATTAGGTATAATATTGTATCGAAAACATAATTTTGTGTAAACTTTTAAATGTAAAAAGAGAAAGGATTTAGTTTATATCTAAACTAAAATAAAAAACCAATATTGAATGCGAGTAAAATTTAATTAAAAAAATCCTTTCTCTTTACCAAATGTACTGGAAGGCAATAATGTGCCTTAAAATTTCAAAAGGCCATAAATATGTATAATTTTATAGCTAAAGTAGAATGTATTGTCTTATTTGACCTAATAATTGCTGTTTTATTGTTAAAAACTTTAATTGTGTAAATTAAATCTCTCTGTCTCTCGAATTTGTAAATGTTGTGGGGAGTTGAGTGGAATCGAAGTGCAATACACGCAATAGAGTTCCTACAGTCTTATACGATGACAGCTGTCACAGCTGACAGGCGTCATGTCTGACAGGCGTCAGAGTTGACCGGTGTCGCATCTGACGCGTGTCGCATCTGACGCGCGTCGGCGTTGACAGCTGTCAAATGTTAGAGTAAGTTTGTTTTTTCTACCGATTGTGGGCTGGGAATCGATGACGTCCGTTTATTTTTTTAGATTTTTGACACGTGTTAGGTCAGAAATGTCAAAATGGTGTTAAATAGTGGGAAGTACTGCCCGGTGCAGGCGTGTAGATAGTTGTGCGATATTTAATAATATATGGTAATGTCGGTGCGTCTCGTTCTTTTTCTATACGTAGGAATGAGATGGCGAGATCGTATCGAAGTTGACGCTTTACAGTGGAACGGTTTGTCTTTAAATTCGCATTTTTTTTTTCATGATTTAGTATTATAAGTTACTTTTATATTTTTATACGATGTTATCTATGGCGGACAACGATTCATCTCACCATAGACAATTCAATTTGACATTTTGAGTTTGCAATATATAATATTAGTCATTTATACTGCCTTATTAGTATTATTTCTTATAAATCAATTTTTACGTGATTTTAAATACGTTTATTATAAAGGACTTTCAATAATTTATTTGTTTAAATCATGCAAACGTTTGGAATGAAAGAGATAGATGCAATTTGAACCGTTTCGCTGTAAAGTGTTGTGACGTCACGCCGGTCGCTCCGCGTTCGCGGTTTAAATATAAGTAGGCTTACAAATTGAGGCGGTTTGCTTCGCGACAATTTATCTTACTGGATATGTGATAAGTGTCAGAGTTCCCCGCAGTATTCCCGGAGCGGGCGGCCGGCTGATGCGGAATAACTTTTTTTATAAGCAACAAAAAAAACCTCTTTGTACGTTTAACTTAGATAGTTATTATTAATTTTAGCTTTTAATAGGTGTTTCGATGATTTTCACGAATTTTTTTCTTTGTTTTCTCGCATTTAGCCAGCGATTGCAAGAGTCGCAGTGTACATATATAGTTAGACACGATATGGACAATACCTAACAAGTGGAAAATGACTTTATTGAACAAATACATTCAGTGGAATTATAAATTTGCATGCTTGGTGTTGGGGGGTGAAGCAATGGTTGCTGCTCCCCCCTTCGCTGTAGTTTTTTTTGTTTCATCACAAACCTCCCTTTCCCTTTCCCGCAGCGCTTCAATGTAGACTTGTAGTTGTATTGTGGATATTTCAGATGACCAGGTGTTACGAATATGAAGATCTCAACAGTATTATAAAGTATAAATATGAATATTTCAAATAACAGTAATCTTCTATTATAAATAAAAAAGTTTAGATGGATGTTTGTTAGAGTTTGTAGACACTGCTGAACGGATCTCGATGAAATTTGACATAGATGTAGAGGATAGTCTGGAAGAACACATAGGCTACTTTTTTAAATCCGCGCGGACAAAGTCGCGGGCAAAAGCTAGTTATTGTTAAAACCTTTTAGGGCAGTAATATGCAAAAATTTTTACATGAAAGCCTTTTTTTTTTTAAAGCCTATGGCTTCTTACTTTAAGGTGACATGATAGTTCAAGTATTGATGTTGGTGACCTGAAAATAAATATTCAGGGTTTAAATAAGAGACGTCTTAATTGATAAAATATCAGCATATTTTAAATATTAATACCTTTTCGTAACTTTTAAATATCGTTTTAGACTAATTCTGACAAGTTTATAAGCTACTAGCTCTTGCTCGTGACTTCGCCAGCGTGAATTTAAAAAATACTAAAAAGACATAGCCTATGTTACTTACAGATAAATACCTTCCTAACGGTAAAGGAATTTTTAAAAGCGGCCCAGTAGTTTTTGAGTTATTTCAATACATACAAAAATACAAATCTTTCCTCTTTATAACATTAGAATAGATTACAATATTTTTATATTGACGATATTCCGATAAACTACAATGTTTTACGCAATAGTATAAATTTAATATGTTTTTTTATAAAAGAAAATAGAATGCATAAGACAATGTGCACATAATATGGAATTCAGAACGAAATTTTTACATTTCAATTTCTAAACCACACCCATAGACAATCAGTTTACACTTCAAACATCTGTCATAAATTATCTTCTGTCAATCGTATAAACTACAAAAACCTAACAAAACAAAAAGCTGAAAAAGCGTCTGAATGAAAAAATGCCAGCCGATGGCAAAACCTATACCAGATCTCAACCTATCTGATATTTCGAAATACACATCTAAGCCTAAAGAGGAGTCCGTCTTTGACGTTACAATAAATAAAATCAGTAAGCATTCTTCTAGCACAAACTTATTCTTGGGGACATTCTGCGGTTGGGTAACAGGTGTGGGGGTATCTAAGGTGGGGAAGGTAGCGGCATTTGGTTTAGGAGGAGGTATAATTCTTCTCCACTTTGCCTGTGAACTGGGATATTTACACGTCAACTGGGAGAAGGTGAAAGAAGGTGTAAGTCACTGCCAGCACCTCATGGAGAAGTTTCTACGCTTCGTGAAGAAGAACAGCTGCTTATCCGTCGGTTTCGTCGGCGGATTCTTCTTCGGTGTTGCGTCTACGTAATTTTTAGAGAGATGTTAGTCAATTAATAAAGTGTATTAGTAAAAAAAAAAACGCTTCAATCGAATTTCTAATTAAAATTTGACAGGTAAAGGCTTCCTTTACTAAAAAGATGAGATACCAATATTTAGACATAAACTAAGATCTCAGTATTACAATAAAAGCCTAACAACCTTGCAAATAAACGTGATATAAAATCAAACTTAGGAATAAACCAAGTATAAGCAAAATTTGTACTAATATTTGCTTATACTCAGTATATTCCTAAGTTTACCGTTATACCTCATTTATTTGTATGGCTGTAACAGTTTATTTGCTTGCTACGCACTTGACATAACCTGCTGGTCTTGGGTTCGAATCCCACCATGTACATGTGCTGTTCAAATTTCAAATGTACATTTATCTCCAATTTAACTACGAAAGAAAACATCCTTAAGTCTGCAAATATCGACTAAGAAATTATATAATATGTGTTAAGTCCACCAACACGTACTGGGCCAGCATTGAATATGGCATAGTCAACAACTTCGGTTAGGCTCCGAGCGCCTCAGTGGAGACTTAATATAAGCTGATGATTATGAACATAACCTTAAAACAACAGCGACATCCTGTAGGTAAATTACTAGGGTTCTGATAATCACCTGATGTTAAAAGGCAACTTGTTACTCATAAAACAGATTGCTTTCAGATTTTTTCTAAAGACTAATGTAAGCCAATCTTTAAACAAAGCCAATATATATAACATTTTACCTAGAAAGAGATGGATGGATTGCGTGAAAGGTGACATGAAGGGAGTGATGACTAAGATGACGTATGATAGAGTTATTTGGAGGACGAAAACCCGGCACCGACACTACGGGAGTAGGATAAGGCAGGGGGATGATGATCTACGTTCTACCAGATTATAAAAATGTGTTTTTAAGTAAAAAGGTAACCGAATAAGCATAAAAATACAAAATAACCCATTAGATGAATGAGATCGTTATTGGTTACGATATCTTAGTTTTAAAAAGATATTAATAATTAAAAGAATCTCAAACATCTGTCTGTCCTTGCCTTAATTCTATTACTGAAGGTAAGTTAAATAAAACTAATAAAGGAATCAATTAGAAATATTAATAGCCTAAAAGGTAAATAAAACAGAAACTATAAATACGTCAGTGTCATACTATTTAAGATATGCAAAATAACTTTTCATTGAACAAACACTTAATACTATCTCAATTACTATTTTACAAATAGACGAATATACCGAACTACTTTCCTGCAAATTGTAAAATCCCTCCTCGACTTTGACCAGCTTGAAATAGTGAGGGGAATGTTTCTGTACTTGTGCAAATAGAAACGGCGATGGACATTTACTTGTATCGCTAGTATTTTCAACAGAATCCTTATACTAGAAATACTATAATTCTCGTTAAAAACTAAAATAAAACAATGATAGCCTAAAAATGAAATAAACTGATTTTAAAAATAAGCACGAGAGAACTTCATAGGTCTTTTTAATTTCTTTTTTTATTTAGACGTTAACAATAAATGGGACATCAAGTTAAAAATCGTAAGTAACACCTGGTCAGAACGTTAAGTAGAAATAATCCAGAGTGCTATCACGAGTATTTGCGTAACAGTTTCGAGAACGTATTCGTAACGTTATTCATATTTGTATGAGTAATTTAGTGTACTTTACGCCCAGTAGAGGCGCTGCACAAATCTAATACAAATATGTTACGAAAACGTACTCACAAGTATTTTTCGATAAATTACGAATATGTAATATTCATTATAACTAATTATCCTATGATAAAAATAAGTAGATAAATAATTCTTAAAGTTTAATATTTCAATTGCTTTGCTTTTGCCCGATTCGAACCCGCTTAAAGATTTTGTTTTGCATGTACAACCCATTTTCATCTTTTTACGATGTTTTTGAACTTTAAAAGTAGTATTATAGTTCTTTGAGAGACCGAGAGATAAAATACACAATTAAATGTAAAAATTAGATTAACATAAACATGCACATGTTTTATAGGTGAGAAAATAATTTATTACTGTTTTTAATATTATTTTCGTATTTTCACAGCCAGACCAAAACCAGTCGAAACTATTACCCCTGAACAAGAAGAAAGAAACCCCGCACCCCAGGAGTCCGTACCTCCAATCAAACCACCTGATTCATTTAAACAACAAGAAGAATCAAGATTCCTAGACAACCCACCATTCCTACCTCCTAAGCCAATCCCACATTCCCCAAAAATTTCCCCATCATCAATACCCAATCCAAATCCAAGCGTAACAACTACAAAACAAGTTGAACCTGGTTATCCAAATTACGGTGGTTATATTTATTCTATACCCGGATATTCAGCGTTTCAACCGGTCTCCTACCCTGGTGTAGTTCAACCGTCCCAAGCCGCGTTACCCCATCCCGAATCAAATTCAGATTTCATGCCATTTCCAGTTCCTAATAACAATTCAATACCAACAACGAATCAAGAAGAAAAAACAAATGAATCAAAAACAATAGACCCACAGCCCGCGACTGTAGAAAATCCTAAACCGCAGACTGATTTTGAAGCTAACTTCAGTCCTGCTGTAATTCCAGTAACATCTTTACCTGAAGTAAAAACAGATCCAATAACCGAATCAAAAATGAGTATAACTTCACTCGTTCAAGGTTCCGGCGCAACAGTAACGATACCAACACAACACAAAGATGGTAAAAAGAAAACAAACGAACGATTCAGCTTAAAAACTAGCATTCCAATAAGCAAAATCGATATGAAATGTGTCACCAACCCTCCAGATGCATTTCAAGTAAACATAAAAAAGCCAATCAATCCTACGTTTCCAGCAAAAAACGACAGCAATTCTAAAGTTGAAATTCAAAGTAATATTGTTATAAAAACCGCACAATCAGATTTGAAAAAAGCAGAAGATGTAAAAGCAATTCCATCACCGGCTTCCAATAATATAAGTACTTTGATAAACGCTGCAGAAATGATCAATAAAACGGAGACACAGTTTCAACCAAATGATTCTAATCAACTAAATCTAACACCAGAATCAAAAGAATTGACATATCCATCTCAAATGCCAGCAACTCAAATGCTATTCAACCCTAATGTGGAAACAAAACCTTGTTTTGTTACTAAGCAACCAGAAGGCAATATAAATGATCAGAAAAATCAAATATTATTCATTCAAAACAAAAATCCTTCCAATTCAAAGATGTTAGTTACTATCCAACAACAAAATCAGCAAGTTTTAGTTCAAAGAACCAGTTTCGATTCAAAAAACCTGCAAGCTCCTTCACGACTGTCCGGCCAAGGAAAGAAAAGTAAAGATGAAATTCTCAAAGACAATGTATCGTCCTCAAAAGTGGTTGCATTAAAAAGAATGCATCAAGAAAACTGTGACGAAAATGATTTTGAGAATTTAATCACAGAAAATCAAATCTACGGCAACAAGATTGTCGTGAAGGAGAAGTGCCAAGGAACCTCACAAGAGCAAGACTTGAAAGGTAAAAAAGTAATAGAAAAACCTCCCCAATCGGACACAAAGAACGTTGTACTACAACCAAACTTTTTGTACTTAAGCAATGTTCAATTCCCGGCAAATGTAATGATGATTAAAAATAATAAAACTAACGATAACAAAGTAGTTAAAGCATCAACAAATGAAAATAAATCTGCCGAAGTGTCTACTGATTCTTCAGTAAAGAACAAACCTCAAAACGTGACCCTAAATAAAGAGGTTCATGTAGTCAAATCTAACAATGTTCTACAAACTCTATCTACTAAAAACACAGATGTATTCCAAGCGCCTAACCAAAAAGTTATTATGAATCCCCAAATAGTTTACCAAGTCCCTATGATAGTTGAAAACGATAAAAAGATTACACAAACATTTGTTAATAATGATCATACTAAGACAGTCACACAAGATGAATTCCAAAAGCCATTTGACCAACCAAAACCAAATGATAAACTGTATATCGCCTGCCCTTATCAAATGGATTCCAAACTACAACCTAAAATTGTCATCACGAACATACGCACCAAAGTGTCAAAAGTGGAAGAGATCAGTTCACTGGACGTTTATGAAAAGAAGAAACGGCTACGTAGAATGAAATATTTATCAAACCGTGACGGTAAAGATGTACAGAAATTTGAAAAGAAAATATTGGATAACCTCAAAAACATTATAACACCAGAGAAAATGAAAGCTGAGATACACAAAGAGTTTACAAATACGAGAATTAAAGTACTCGATTATAATACAGATGATAGTGATTATGACGAAGACGAGTTGAAAGAATACAATTCAATTATTAACGATAACGAAAGCCCAAAAGACGTACATGAAAGTACAAAAATAGATTTTCTAGCTGGACTTAATTTGGCAACACAAATAGTTTACAAAGGTAAGTATATCTAAATAACATAACTCATTGTTTTAGGTATTTGTACAGACTATCAACCCTACTTTTCCTACTCCCTTAAGGTCGGCGCATGAGAATTTTACTCTCCACTTAACTCTATCATACGTCATCTCAGTCATCACTCCCTTCTTGATCATGTCACCTTTCACTCAATCCATCTCTTGCTATGTCTACCTCTACCGGTGTACCACACTCATAACTAACGTCCTCCTTGTTATGCGCTTCATCCTTCTTATAACATGCCCATATCATGTTACGCTTTTATTCCTTGATTTAATCCTTTATTTAAAGTGGTACTTTCATTAAGGAATTTATTCACAGACCATACTAAAAATATCAAATATTCTACTTGAGCTATTGGGAAGATTATCTCCGTTAAGTCCATTGTGGCTGTATAATTAACATATCATCAATTGTTTCCAGAAAAAGAATTAGAAAGAATGGAGAGAATATTAAAAAGAGATTCGATAGCTGCCGCCTACATCGCTGCGGGGAGATTGGATAAGATCTTCCATGATAACACGGAACCTTCAACAGCTATGTTGAATTCATCTCCTACAGTAACAATACGACGGGCTGATGTCAATGACAACGAACAAGTCAGACATCGAAAACAAATGTTTCTGTCACAGCTGAGTTTAATGCATGTTACACCTAAATATAAACAGAGTAAGAAGATTTTTTACATATATTCATAGCTAGCTTTCTCTCGCTAGTCTATCCGCGTGGATTTTTGAAAAATTAAGTAGACTATGTGTTCTTCCAAACTGTCTTCTACATCTATGACAAATTTCATTGAGTTCCGTTCAGCTTTTTCGCATTTATAATATTAGTAAGATGTAAGATTGTTTACAGTACTGTTTTATAATTAAATATAAGAAGGTACTTTAAAGAGATTTCTAAATTGTATTCCTTATAACCATTTCGAAGTATCTAGAAGCCTGTGTTTGGACACTGCTCACGTTAGTAATAAGAAATTTGAACCACAAGCTCGATAGTAACCCAAGTCAATTATTATTTATAACATTTGTATTCCTAGAACTTATAATTACAGGTTATGAAAGAGCATGGCGTGCAATAGTCAGAGAAAGAAAACGTCGTAACGGCTGTTTGGAAACGGATCTAATTTTAAAACAACCTAAATTATATTCGGAACCAACAGACTTAGACCCGAATGGCCAGTTACAAATGTTAACAGAAATTAAAAATCACGTCAGCGAAAATAACAACCTAATAAAGAAAAGATTAGATTCCTCCAGTGAAGATGGAGACAGTATTCGATTATTGGCAGAAAAGAATTTTTCAGAATTAAATCGTTTATCAAAGATGGCCGACAGAAGTGTTAAACATTTCAGTGGCCAGGATACAAGAAAACGAGATTTAAACCCAGGCTTCGATAGCGAAAACATCCAAAAAGCCATACAAGAACAACCATTTCACAATTATCCTAATTTAAATATACCAAATATCTCTAATATAATATCATTAAAAAGTACACAGAATGCTTCAAATATAACTTCATCGCAAGCAACGTCGATGGATGAACCACAAAACTCCGCGGCTGGTGTCAGAGAAATGTATGACGGAAATATAGACAGAGTCCAAGACTTTAGTTGTCAAGTGGATGATAAATCTTGGCCGGGAATAGAGGCTATTATAAGTAATTATAGAGATTTTGAAAACGGTATGTATGCAACTATACTACGAATCTGTCCTTGCGAATATTTACAAGAACTTCGCAATCATAAATCAACATTTAATTACATTTTACTAGATTTAGTTAAAAAACCGAGCTAGACATATTTAAACTACCGAGCTGCACTTCAGCAACCAAATTATCCGCTAACGGCTCAACACGATGCACTATAACTATGACAGCCGATTAACCGCTAACTATCCTTGACTTGAATCGAGCGGATTGTTTTACCCATGTAAACCGTGAGATCTGCAGGTCATCAATTTTAATCGAGTTACATCTCTACACGCTGTAATGTGTTGCCATGTCAATTCAATAATCTACTTTTATGTGTTTCTTCATCAATCTGCTTTATTCTAGAACTTTTCTGTGTTTTACAAGTCCTATAATTTCATTTTCAGATCGTAAAAAAGAAATAGATTCCCTATACAAGCGGAATACAGCGCTGCGAGTTGAAGCGGCGCATATAACTCGTTCGGCGTCGCGTGACGCGGAACGCGCGCGATCTCTGTTGGCGGAAAGACATAACCTCGCATCAGAAGAAACCCGCGTTTCTCGTACATTGCACAGATTATACTCAATCATTGAACTTGTCAAAAACTGTTAACTTTTTTTGTTTAAAAATTATTTTCCACACTAATTTATTAAATTGTTTACAAAATTGATCGTTACGTGTTTTAAATTATTCATTAATTTAACTGTTATCTAATATTATTTTAAAATCAAAGTGGAATTTAGCTGTATCATACCTCCAATACAGTTTAAAGGCTTTATTCTAAAAATCACTTAACATTTACTAAGTAAAATGTACAAAATCAATCAAATAGCAGAAAAAAGAAATGTACTGTATAATAATTAATTATTAAATGAGAATGAACATTTGAAAAATGTTTTCAGAATAAATTAAAGTCAATTCAGTCTAGGTAACCTGTATTTCTAGTCCATTTAGGTCTAGTCATGTAACTATCGTTAGTAAATAAAGTAGGACCATCGTTACTTAACGAAAATGTTTTCTACATCAATATAAATGTACAATAACGATGTACATAAATTAATTTAATAAAATCAGAATTAGAGATTTCTAATTTATTATTGTGTATTGAACATTTTATAAACAGCTTTCCTTTAAGGAATAAATGTACTTATATTTTTTATATTTTGCAAAGAATATAAAACGCTTACTAATTTCTGTGGCTGTTTATTTGTACAATTGTCATAATGTACTTATAGATGCAATAAAAGGAACTAAGTATTTTTGTAGTTTTTATTTCGCACTTACACAAGTAAAACAAACACCAAAAAAAATATTTCAACAGAATAAATATATTTTTAATTTAATCACATATACATATCCATTTTAAAAAAATCTTTCACGGTGAAAAAGATCGTTTTATAATACTGCCATCTATCGATAATCTTCCAAAACATTCAATAGCTTTTATCCCAACAGCATAAAGCAGTCCCGATTATAATTAGCGAAATACCAAAGATTGAACCTGAAATGAACAGAATTAATTAACTTTACGGTGATTTTGTACTTAAAAAAATTTTCTAGATGGTTCTATATTTTTACCACGATCCAAAGGTTCCTCAGCGCCAACCATAGAGCCAGTTACAGCTGTGAACGCGAACGCCAGACTATTAGATGCAGGCACGGCCAGAGACAATGGCGCCCTCTGCACCGCCATCAAGTATACTAACGAACCACATTGGTTCACCAGAAATGGTACCACGTACTAAAAACGTTAACGTTTATTCGTTTATTAAGAGATAAGTAAGTCCCAGAGAATCGAAAAATTTAAAATACATACATATGTTATTACTTCGAAATATTAAGGTGCCTGCAATCCTATCAATATTGTAAATACGAAAGTTTAGATAAATGGATGTTAGTTAGAGTTTGTAGACTAAACGGCTTAACGGATTTCTACGACATTTGGTATACACGTAGAGGATAGTCTGGAAGAACACATAGACTACTCAATTTTGTATTTTTAATTCCACGCGAACGAAATCGCGGGCAGAAGCTAATCCATCTACGTGTAAAAAAATATTGCTAGTTAGTGCTAGTAATCAGCTGGCTAGCAATTTATTTATATGCTATATGAATAAAGATTAATTTTTTAGCAATTTCTAAAAGATTCTCAAATCGCCTGTATTTTTTACTAATGACCTACCCGCCAATTACCAAGTAGGAACACAATCTCCGCGTAAGCTTGCCCGACCCATGTCTCCGCTTTTACTGAACGTAGACCCTTCGTGCCCTGACGGATGAAAGGATTCGTGCACCCCCATAATATACCTGTCACCACCAATAACCCTGCAAAGGAAACTGACGCTTAATGACTCTTATAAAATGCCGTCTATACGAACATATCAGAATAGCTGTTGCTCGAGATATCGCTATCGTGAAATTAATTACTGATAACTGTTAAGAAGAAAATTAGTACCGTGCTCTAGAATTGATGCAACACTAGATTGTCGGTTATACGTTTATACGTCACGTCCTTAGCTGATAGCTGTCAATGTCATTAGAAGGATTGAATATTCGCGCGCATTCCTGGCGAGATCTTAAGTGTAGTGTTTAAATTAATATCGATAGTAACAATTATATTAAATTGTTTAAAATAACAGCTTTTTAATGATGAAAGAATTTTTGAAATCAGCCCAGTAGTTTTTGAGTTATTTCAATATTAGTACAGACAAACATAGCTTTGTAATAAGCAATAAAATAGTTCCGTATATTTTCGATATGTCGAGACTATTTTATTCCTAGTCATGGTATATAATTATGATTTAATAAAAAAAGGAAATCAAAGAAAACACTTTCTATTTTTATATGTATTGTAAATATGAAAAAAATCTCATTATAACTATTTCATGTAAAAATAGCACCATTAGAAACACACAATATGAAAACATCGAAAATATTATGCAACTGTTGTGAATTATTTTATTTATTACTAGCTATTCGCGTGCGGATTCATCCGCGTGAAATTATAAAAACTTTATTTTATTGTTTACATGTGTCAAATTATTAATAGCAAATGTCAAAATGACATGACAAATCTTAGCAACCTTTCTTTTATTTCTTGATGTTGGCAGCCACTTATGGTCACTTTCCCACATTAGGGTTTTTATCCAAAATATTTACCCCCTAAGTTTAATGGCGTAAAAATATATACCTAAAGCATGACATAAGTGTAGGGCTTTTTCTTAAGAAAAAAAATTTTCAAAAACATGCTGTAATTGCTGACATCTTAGGCAACAAAGAAGTGTGTGTTTACGCTTTATTATAATAATAAAGTATAGAAGAAGTATAGTTAGTATAGATAGAATATCCTATATATTAATTGTAATAAGACCATATTGTTAACATATACTCGTACATTTGTAATTTCAATAAGTGATATCATAATTCTTTAATTTTACATTAAATTACTTTGATATTTAAAAACATATCTAAAAAATGAAAAAACCTTAACAATAAAATCACTTGTCAAAATATACATAAGGAAATGTTGTAAGTTATTAAAAAATAGGCTAATACCAATTGCAAAATTTCCAACTCAAGCATTAATAAAAGTACATATTTTGAGATCACTTAAAACCTAAAATAAATAGATATTTGGTCTTTTTGATGTCTGAACCCCCCTTATAAACTGTCAAATATTTACTAAAACATTTAGTTTTATTTTATTTATGTCTTTATAAAATCTAATGTCTATTAAAATTGTAAACCAATCTCTTAAAGGCAGTTATAAAAATTTCTTAAAAATACATTAACTAATAAAAAAAATAAACAATGTCATTTCCTACTCCCCTAAAGGGACACCAATGGTCATAGGTTTAACATCAGCAAATAAACAATGATTTTCATCTACCCACTTCACGAAATCCTTGTTAAGTGCGGCAGATATTTCTAAGGCCATTATACAATCATTTTCCGCACGATGAGCTTCAATGCCTGCTCGATTTAACACTCTCTCATAAATATTCTTCAATTTATAACTATCTTTAGGCTTTGCACCACTCCATGGAAACCTTCTACGTACTTTTGATAGGTTTTTCCTTTCAAATTTTCTTGGTGTTTGATCGGTTCTAATTCGTTGTTGCTTTGGTGTTGTTTCGTTGATATTTTTCATGGAAATTTGATTGTTAGTGATGGCTAGATTTATATCAATCTCTTTTTCCGTTTTGTTTTTAATTATCTGTTGTTTTGGTGTTGTTTCATTGTAATTTTGCATGGAAAATTGATCGTCAACACCACAGATTTTCTCATTCAATTGTGGAACTGTTATGTCTTTGATTACATCTGAATTTTTGTGTTCTAGATTGTGGGTACTTTTCAATTTTTCTAAGATGTCATAAAATGCATGCAAGCAATCAGCACATAAAAGATCCTCTTTAAATTGTACTGATAATTTCTCTAAATGATTTTTAATTATCGGAAAATCAAAATTATGTCCATTTTGAGCGATCAAACACACTGGTTTAGTTAGAATATTGAGGAAAGAATTAATTGTAGTAAAGGCATTCATATCGAACTTTGTTTCATGTTCAAGAAGGTCGTTACAAAGACCTGTTGTCGCTGTACTACCAGGATGTACCATTTTACAAGGATTGAAACAAAGCGTAAGTTTGTTTTGAACTCTAGGCGCGGCGCCAGCGAGTGTTCTTAGCAAATGTTCTCGTTTCACAGCGACCATGCTCAGTTCCGTAATTTTTGTACGATTAGTTTCCTCCACTGGTAAACCAGTAGTTTCTAAATCTACGAACACGTACGTAGCTACAGGTATCATTGTATACAAATAAAATTGTACTAAGCTTACCTAAGCTCAGCAACATAACAGCAAATGCACAAAATGGGTAACAAATTGATCAGAAAATATGTGACATATCAAAAACTACTTCGTTGAAATCTATACATGATTGGACTTGAATCAGCGTACTTGATTAAATAGATAAAAACTGATAACCATATCACATCTTTATCAAAAAGAAGCTAATTATTATCGTTAAATGACAGCTGTAAACACAATGTCACTGACTGACAGTTACACAATATTACCATTTATGAAATATAGCTACCAAATCAAAAGTTACTAATGTTTTGGTAACTATGTATGTTTGATGGCCGACGTTTGCATCTACAAGGGAAAGTCGTAGTATCCCACTAGTCAAATGATTTAATCTACCTAAATAAAACAAAAAATAAATATAATGTCTTTTATTTTGTCTTTTACAAAACCTTTGAATACTTATAATCAATATTGGTGCACACATAAAAACCTAATAAAAAAAATACACACGAATTTATTACCTCCTTCTTTTGGGTACTCTACTAATGAGTTATAAATTACACTAAACACTTTAATGAAATAATTTTAAGACAAAATTAAATTTTTTGTCAAAATTCTTGAAGCTACAAATTTAAACACAAAAACTATAGAAAAACAGACATCTTCCAGTTAAAGCACTTTACACATATAAAAAAATCAAAACCATTTGGTAATTCACTAAATATCATATCCTTAAAATACAAGTTAAAAGTATGTTGCATACAAAAGTTATTTAAAATTACTTCATAGATATAAAATGTAATATAAAAATGATATGACCAATATTATTACAGATGTGATTATTATCCAATATTTCTGAAGCCAATTCCTCTCATCTTTATTAATAACAACCTTTTTTTCCTTGTATTTTTTCTTTTTGCCACTCAATTTCCATTCATACTCAGCTAACTCTTTGCGGTTTCTTTCTTCCTCTAGCTCTTTCAGCCTTTTCTCTTCTCTCTCTTTCTCTTTCTTGGCTGCAGCTTGTTTCTCTTCACAACTCTTATCACAAACAACTTTTACTTCTTGTTGTTGAACTAAATTGCATGGAACTTCCTTTTTCAAATTGCCGCATACACAATGGACTTTAGTTTTCTTCAAGCATATTTGATTTTCACTACAGTTATTTGAATGGCAAGATTTCTTACATCTATGACCACATTTCAACATCTTTGGACACTGCTGACCACAGCATAACATTTCTTCTGTACACTCAGACAACTTGTTACATCTTATGTACAATTCAGTTACACCACAATGACAACGAACTCGTTCCATTATATCACAAATGGGGCATGGCCCAGGATGACAATGACCAATAGCACATTTATGAGTGCATTTTTCTGGACGGTCTATTAAGCATTCTTTATCACATGGCTTGCAAGAGTAAGGCACATTTGGGTAATCAGTATTACGCTTGTATAAGTGACACATTTCTGAACATAAGTGGTTAAGGCACTCAAGAAGGCGGCCACATTCTCGCCCACATGGTTTCCTTGAAGCGGAATGACAAGGCTGGTTTGCAACCTCATGTTCACCAAAACAAGCTATTGCAACTGGTTCCTCGCACGGTGGGCATTCTAATGTCATTATTTTTGACTTTGGTGGTTGTATTTCCCATGGAGTAGCTGGCTTTTCTACTTGCTTAAATACAACAGTGACATATTTATGACAAATAGCTTTACATTGGTGACCGCATTTTTCATATGTCTTAAAACATATCGCCTTACAAGGTGGACAGTCACCAAAATGGCATAAATGGTGATTATCATCAGAATGACCACATTTATACCTAATCTTACAAGGTAAACTACATTTTGGGGGCTTCATATTCTTTTCTCTACCACAAGGAACTGTAATATATGTTTCTTTGCACCTGCAAGTTATTTTTGACTCTAAAGGACATGGGTAGCATGGGCCGCGATGGCACACTGATGTACATTTGTGTCGGCCACAGTGTAGGGGTTTGTCGCAAACCTTTTCGCATGCAGGGCAGTTCCCGTTACAACATTTACGTCCACAGCCGTGTTTGCCACATGGTCTAGTCCCCCTACATTTTGTATCACATTTGAACTCTTTACTGCATGGAAGCGATCTTGTATGTGCGGTGCATTGACAGGTTTTCTCGATCATTACTAAGCAAGGTGGGCATGGACCTTTGTGACATTTTTCAGGACAATTATGCTCACAATCATCATGTTTCTTACCACAAGTCCCTAAACATGTTTCCATTACATCTGGACACTGAACAAACTGCTGATTAGCACCACATGGGCAAGCTTTTAGTCCCGAGTTAGGACATGGACCACAGCTACCTGAATGGCAAACTCTGTCACATTTGTGGTAACCACAACTAAATGGTTTGTTACATATTTTAATACACTGCCATTCTAAGTCATTGCATGGACGCTTAATCTTTTCACTCCCACATTGACAGGCTTGTATGCTTGTGTAACTGCATGGAGGGCAGTCATTATCATGGCAAATACTTTCACACTTGTGAGATTTACATGGTAGTGTTTTCCTACACTGGCTACCACAAGACCATTTCCCAGCACTACACCTTACTTTTTTATTTTCCTTTAGACAATAGCATGCTTCACTAACCATTTGGGGGCAAGGGGGACATGGGCCTGGATGACATAATAGTAAGCACTTGTGTTTACAATTATTTCCAGTTGAAAGCCTTTTACCACATACCTCACCACATGAATGTGGTATTAACCAGGGATGGAGTGGAGGATTATCAATTTTGCTACAGAAACAACGATACTTATGAGGTATTTGTTCCTTGGTGTAAGCTTGCCGACATTTTGGACAGCACCATTCAACTTTTTTAGGTACAAATACAGTAATAGGACCATGATTATCATCACTTTTGAGAGAAACGCAGTCATTTGCCCACTTTTGTATGCAAGATAAATGAAAATACGAATAACAGTTGTCGCAGTTCCAAATAGCATGAACTCTTTTGATGGAACCTATACATATAAGACAGGTTATATTTCGACCGCTAATAGCTTCTTCTAGTAAATTCTTGGTCCGATTGAGCAATTTAGTATCACCTCCTCCTCTCGAGTAGCTCTGAAACACGCCGTCCAATACGCTGACTTCAAAGGGTTCCTCATCTTCAGACGATAAATGATCCTGCATTTCCTTTAAATGTTTTTGAACATTTTGCTGCAGTTTTGCAGCGGCGTCGCGATATCTTCGAGCCATAATAATCACCTTTCGAACACCTTACTAAGAACATTGGTAAAAATCTAACTAAATTCGATAACTTTCTATAATCTTCTTGAAAAATCTTATTTTGACATAAATTTTCTCCATGTCGGCGTTTGGTTGGTATGACGTTTACATTTAAACAGATTATAAATATTAATTTTGCATGATTGCATTCAGATAAAAAGGTTATTTAAAAATCGTTGTATTTGCTTCTTTGCGAGAAAAATAAACCTAAAAATATTTGACGGAAACATTTTAATAAGTAATTGTTGGAAAAACACTTGTTTTTTTTAATTGCGAGATTGAATTTAGCGTTGAAAATGTCATTATACTGATTATACCGTACGGTTTTCCCTGCTTTTCTCCACTTCAGTAACATTATCTACCAATGGTAACACAGGACTCAAACGTAAACACTGTCAATTCTTCTGTAACTGAAAACAAACTTTACAGGTATGGAAAAAGGTCTAAAATAGCTAAATTAAAATCTAATGTATTGATAAATGATATGAAAATTATGATAATGAATATTGAAAACCAAACTAAACTAAGCCTTGAAGATTGTACTAAATAATAGTATATTGTCTTGAAGTTGTTCTATTTTTGGTCTTATCAGTATCAGTTTTGTTCTAAAGGTGGTATTCTATATTCGATTTTTAAATTATTGAAACTTTAATTTTGTTGACTTTATTCATTTTCATCTATTTAACGTAGGAACTTACACTTATTTAAATGCTTAATTTTATGTTAAAGTCTTTTTTCTCACTTAATAATATATACTGTCAAATTATATATCGTACACGTAACCTATACGAAAAAAACAGACCCATTTTTATAAAGTTTTAAAACAACTTGTTCAACTAATGCATTATCATTCACAGTTTTATTATTACTTTACTGTCATATATGAATTTTAAGCTACGTTTAATTCCAGATAAAGCCATGAATCCACCGAAAGGTTTCCAGTTTGCTATAGATAGAGGAGGTACATTCACTGATGTGTTTGCCCGCTGTCCCAATGGTAAAGTAAGAGTCATGAAATTATTATCTGTGGACCCACAGAACTATGATGATGCTCCAAGAGAAGCGATAAGAAGGATATTGCAAGAGGTTTGTTTGTATTCACATATATTTTAAAGCATAAGGACATTTGTATATTTTATACAAATATATTTATAAAATATATTTTTAAGTTTCTAATTGGTAAATGTATATTTATTTGTGCAGCTGACTGTAAGATAACTATTTATACATGTTACTATTAACACATAGATATATTATTGCCCTGTACTACATAAAACAAGGGAGCTTTTATGTATATCTTTCACCGATGGAAACCTTTACTACTTTTTTAATATAATAAGGTGGAAATGAAATGGCTATCAAAAATTGCAGAAATAGTTGCCAGTAGATACGTCAATATATAGCGAGCTGGCGGCGTATTATGGAAACCCTCTGCCCCAGTTTGGGGACATAGGAATAGAAGAGAGAGAGAGAGATATGTCAATGATCAGGAGACATAACACATAAAGGATATCCCCTTCCTATATGTTTCCATTGTCTAATCCATTTTCTGTATATTATAAGTAGGCCTCTGGCACTCAATTTCATTACATGAAATATAGAATGACTTCCACTTCAAGAAGTGTATTATACTAGAAGTGTAATTACACTTATTATAATTACACTTCAAGTGTATTCTTTACACTTCAAGTTTATACTTCACACTTGAGGTGTATACTTAACACTTCAGGTATATACTTCACACTTCAGGTGTATACTTCACACTTGAAGTGTATACTTCACACTTGAAATGTACACTTCATACTTGAAATGTATATTTTGTCTTGTGTTTAGTCATGGTATTATAGGGGGTGAGCTGGTCCTATAGTGTGATGTTAAATGGACTACCACTATGTTACAGGAAACAGGAAATGCTTTAGATAAGGATGGAAAAGTGAATTCTTCGCTGATTGAATCAATAAGGATGGGTACAACGGTGGCCACTAATGCATTGTTGGAACGGAAGGGAGCTAAAATGGCGCTCGTTATAAATAAAGGTTTTAAAGATTTACTTTATATTGGGAATCAAGCAAGGCCGCATATATTTCAGTTGGTAAGATTTTTAATTTTTAATATTGCTGTCCTAATATGTTCTACATCTGTGTTAAATTTCATGAAGATCCCATAAGCAATTTTGAGGATTTTATACGATTTTTTTATAATTTTTTATTTTGTTATTTCTTAGTAATATAATAAATGAGAAAGTTTAGATGGATGTTTGTTAAAGTTTGTAGACTAAATGGCTGAAAAGATCTTAATGAAATTTGGCCTATGCCAAAAAAAAACAAAATTGAATACTCTATGTAATTCTTTCCAGACTATTCTCTTTGTATAGACAAAGAATTACATAGAGTATTCAGTTTTGTTTTTTTTTTAATTCCACTTGGACATAGTTGCGGGTGAAAGCAAGTTTTTATAAGATAAGGTTTTTAATTAAAACATTTATTCAATGGAAAGACACAGTAATAGATATTTCTTGAATAAAATAGCTGTATTCAGTATAGTAGATAATAATATTTAAACTGGTTTTATTTCTGATAAAGTCTTCATACAAAGGTATTGTTTATTTTAGGATTTCATGGTTTGCTTTATTTATCTAACAGTAGGTTCACACTGCAGTAAGATTCCATAAAGTAAATCTATTAAGACACAAATTTAAGTATGTCATAATTTTTTTTTTCATATTTAGAATATAAAACGCCCAGAAGTTTTGTACCAAGAGGTTATTGAAGTTGACTGTAGAGTGATACCGGCGTTAGAAGAACGCTGTCAAATCGATAAATCGAAACATAATTGGAAGGAAGTTTATGGAACTACGGGTCAGAAAATGTTGGTCACTAAAGAAGTGGATGAAAATGCAGTGAGACAAGATTTGAAGAAATTAAAAGAGAAAGGGATAGACAGTATTGCTGTTGTTTTCGCACATAGTTATACTTACCATGATCATGAGATTAAAGTGGGCAAAATAGCCATGGATTTGGGTAAATATTTATTTTTATCTATAGTAATATTATAAAGAAGGCAACTTTGTTGATTGTAATGAAATAACTCAAAAACTACAGATCCGATTTCAAAACCATAAAACAGTTATGTTGTCAGTGAGTAACATAGGCTATGTTTTATATTATTTTATAATTTCACGCAGACAGAGTCGTGGACGAAAAAGGTTTTTTATTGTTACCTTAACTTAACTCTTCCTATCAAATTAAATAAAAAGTCATACTAATATTATATATACAAAAGTTTAGACAGATGGATGTTTGTTCAGTTTGTAGCCTAAACGTCTGAATATTAATGAAATTTGGTACAGATGTAGAGGATAGTCTGGAAGAACACATAGGCTACTTTTGTTTTGTTAATTCCACGCGGACGGAGTCGTGGGCGAAAGCTATTATTATATATGCGAAAGTTTAGATAAATGGATGTTCAGTTTGTAGCCTAAACGTCTAAATATTAATGAAATTTGGTAGAGATGTAGAGGATAGTCTGGAAGAACACATAGACTACTTTTGTTTTGTTAATTCCACGCGGACGGAGTCGCGGGCAAAAGTTAGTTTGAATGTAATATTTGACACTTTTTAGGATTCAATCAGGTGTCTCTTTCGCACGCGGTGACCTCTATGGTACGTGTAGTGCCGCGCGGGTTCACCGCGTGCGCGGACGCGTACCTCACGCCGCACATACGAGAATACGTTAAAGGGTTCGCTAATGGATTTACCAATGGATTAAAAGGATCCAATGTGTTGTTTATGCAGTCTGATGGTGGATTGACTCCGATGAATTTGTAAGTTATGGTTTAAATATATACTTCTTTATCTTTACTTATAATAAAGCGTAAACACACACTTCTTTGTTGCCTAAGATGTCAGCAATTGCAACATATTTTTAAATAATTCTTTTTTAATAAAAAGCCCTACACTTATGTCACGCTTTAGGCTATATATTTTCACGAGATTAAACTTAGGGGGTAAATATTTTGAATAAAGACAGTAATGCGGGAAAGAGACCATAAGTTGCTGGCAACATCAAGGAAGCAAGACCGTCAAGGTTTGTCATGTCATGTCATTTAACGTAAACAATAAAATAAAATTTTCATAACTTCATGCGGATGAAGCCGCATGTGAACTGCTAGTATTATAATAAAGCGTAAACACACACTTCTTTGTTTCAAGATGTCCGCAATTACAGCATATTTTTTAATAAAAATCCCTACACTTGCGTCACGCTTTAGACTATATTTTAACGCCATTAAACTTAGGGGGTAAATATTTTGGCTAAAAACCCTAATGTGGGAAAGAGACCATAGAGTTGCTGCCAACATCAAGGAAGCAATGTTGTCATCATGTCATGTCATTTTGACATTTGTAATTGATAATTTGACGAATGTTAACAATAAAATATAATGTTCATTCCAAATCGCACGGGAATAGCTAGTAAATAATATTAAAAAAGACGTAAAAGTTAAATTTGGTGGGCGGTGATCATTGTTAGTATAGAAATATACTAATATTGTAAAGACGATTTTTGTATGTATTGAGGACGAAGTCGCGAGCTATATCTAGTATGGTGATTATTGTTTATGAGATATTTTTAAAATTGTAAAGCACCATTCTCTCTCTCTCTCTCTCTCTCTCCCTCCCTCTCTCTCTCATTTTTGTTCTCTTTGGTATGAAAAGTGTCCATAATTTTAATAAATTTCCAAGACCAGCTAGAGCTTCAAAATATTAAGGTTTTTAAGATACAAAGTTACAAAAGTTTAAGATACAAAAGTTTTAAAATTAGAAACCGGGGGCGATATAAAAAAGTTAATTTGGATGGCGACGAAATATTTTGGGAACCTCTAGTTTCAATAGTTTTGGTAACAATTTAGTTTGACATAATGCAACTTTCGTTATAAGAGAGAGACGGGTATAAATCACGTAATGAGTGAAAGAGAGCGATGTCATGGTGATTTTTTGAAGAATAATATTGCGTTTTAGATTTAATGGATCCCGAGCGATCTTATCAGGTCCGGCTGGAGGAGTTGTAGGTTATGCGATGACGTCATACCAGAAGGAAACTGGGTTGCCAGTTATAGGTAAGTACAAAATATAGGGAAATAGTACACAATTTTAGTATACACAGTAATAATTTAAACTTGTTAGTTATAATAATTATTGTTTCTTTTACTAAGGTTTCGATATGGGCGGTACTTCAACGGACGTGTCAAGATATGCTGGTTCTTTGGAACATGTCCATGAAGCGACCACTGCAGGAGTTACCATACAAGCACCACAATTAGGTAATTTATAAATATACTAGCTTTTGACCCTGACTTCGTCTGCTCGTTTGAAAAATGTAGTCTATGTATTCATCTAAATGTTCTATCACAAACATAAATCTATCCAAACTCTCGTATTTATAATATTAACTAGCTTTCATCCGCGACTCCTGCGCGTGGAATTAAACTAAACTGAGTGGGCTATGTGTTCTTCCAGACTATCCTCGGCATTTAATACCAAATTTCAACGAAATCCGTGAAGCCATTTAGGCTACAAACTCTAACAAACATCCATCCATCCAAACTTTCGTATTTATAATATTAGGATATGATTTTTAATGAAGACGTTTTAGTACGACAGAGAAGGAAAATGCTATAAACTGAGGATGAAAAGAGATAAATATTTTATATTTGTTCTCAAATATTATGTGTATCTCTTTCTTACACATGTGTCTCTGTCAGATATAAACACGGTGGCGGCGGGCGGGGGCTCCATGTTGATGTTCCGCTCGGGGCTGCTGGTGGCGGGCCCGCAGTCCGCGGGGGCGCAGCCCGGCCCCGCCTGCTACAGGAAGGGGGGCCCGCTCACGGTCACTGACGCTAATTTGTTATTAGGTAACTATTCATATTTTTAATATATACGTATAAATTTGGAATATCATCATCATCATCATTGAAAAAGACGATCTTGTAAGAGAAGGTACGCGCGAGTAAAATAATAAGAAATAAACCAAACAACTTTTAATAAAAATTTACAAATTAATAAAAATATATACACATTTCAGCCTAGCATCGTAAGACATCTGCTCGAACCAAAATGCTTCAAATATTTACAAAAGAATAAATAAAAAAATAAACATTCTTATTTTAAAAAAAAAAGGATTAAAAGTAAAAATATAAAAAGGATTATTGCATCGCCAACAATCATCACCAGCTCACTATACGTCCCCACCGAGGGGTTCGGAGCCTACCCTAAGTTAGGTTGACTAGGCCATAGTCAACCATGCTTGCCCAGTGCGGGTTGGTTGACTTCACACATATCTTTGAATTTCTTCGACGATATGTGCAGGTTGCATCACGATGTTTTCCCTCACCGTAAGAACGTCGGGTAAAATTTGGAATAACCTTACGTAAAATAGAAAAAAACTCCAGATTTCGCAAAGATGAACGAAATTCGTTAATAAAAATTGTCTGTCTGTTTATCCCGGGTAATCTATACTCTATACTAATATAATAAAGCGTAAACACATCACTTCGTGGCGTAGGATGTCAGCAATCACAGTATATTTTTGAATAATTATTTCTGTATTAAAAAACCCTACACTTACAACACGCTTTAGGCTATATATTTTCACGCTATTAAACTTAGGGGGTAAATTTAATGGAAAAATACCTTCATGTAGGAAACGGACCATAACCAAGCTGCATTAAGGAAGCAAGGTTATTATGCTAACGGTAATTTTGACATTTGTAATTAAGAATTTGACAAATTTAAACACTATAATTTACAAAACATATAATTATATGCGGTTTCATCTACTATTTCAAAAAAAAAATAAAAAAAATTTTTGCAGGTCGTCTTTTGCCGGAATATTTTCCGAAGATTTTCGGTTCAAATGAAAATGAACCTTTAGATAAAGAAGCGACTATAAAAGCGTTTAAGAAAATCACGGATGAAATAAATTTATTCCTGAAACAAGATGGCGGGAAAGAGGTAATAAATTTAATTTTTAATTTATGTTCTGAATATACCAAATTTGTATTTTTTTGTAATATAAGATGGCAAACGAGCAAGCGTCCACCTGAATCCAGAAAATGGAAAGCAACCGCTGCCCATAAACATCCGCAATTGCAGATGCGTTGCCTACCCTTATCCGACAGAGGAGACGCACATAAAGAGGA